TCTATGGAGCTCAGTGAAACAGCGGCAGCAAATATACTGGTCTCTAGCAGCCCTTCTAAATATGCCAGCAAACAATTAGTCTCAGCCAGCAATGGCAATGCAGACAACAGACTTAAAAGGTCAGTTAGGCGTCTCAAGGTTGCAGCAGACCTTTGACCTTCAGCTGCCAGTCTCAACAAGCCCTTAGTCCCTCCCTCCCATGAGCCTCAACACTTCCCCTTCTCTTCCTTTCATTCTCTCTTTTTTCAGGCAAAGGAATTTCTCAAGAGTGCTTCCACATTATTCAAAGCAAGCACAAATGTGTAACCTAATCAAGACACTGAGCCCTAACAAAGGAGAGCCACACTCAGCTAACCTGTTCTTGAATGGGGTGCAAGCCTCCTGCCCCAGCATTCCCAAGGGATGCCAGAATCTGTTCTAATCTACATTGGAGAAACACGGCACTCGCTAAAAGCACTTCTTCTTTCCCAGATCCCAGCAGCAGGAGCAATTTATTTCTGCACACAGCCCAGGGGTGCAAGATCCAGCACCACTTGCACAGAGGGAGGGAAGTGTCAAAAAGAAGTCACTCAATAGGATGCCAAAGGGATTGGGGTGGCCAGACAGGGGGAGGAGATCTATCGTATAAAAAGAAGAAAAGCAAAGAGAAGGAAGAGACTTGGTTCAGTAATAGGGACCAATTTTCCACCCTCTTGTTTAAAGAGGACAGCTCAAAAGCGACAATATAATTATGCAGCCCAGGAAGTGGGATATTTTCTGCTTACTGACATCCCAGAGGAAGTGGCGGAGATCTGTAAAAGCCTGCAGAATATGGAAGCTTTCCCACCCATTAAAAGGAGGGGGGAAGTTTTGCATTTCTGAACTTTATTTATTTTTGCTGTAAAACGCAGAGCACAAAAGCCCTGTGGGTATCTGGGCAGCCAAAGATTGCTGCTAAGGACAGGGAAGGCAAAGGAAAGAAGAAGAAGAAAAGGGGGGGGGGAGTGAAGAACGGTCCACAAAGGCAACACTTTTCCATAACAAGGACAAGGCTGCTGTGTTTTAGAAGTATTAGTTCTGGCTTCAGTCACAAGCATAAAGGAATTTGGCAAGCCCCATCCAGCTCCCTCATTGCTTCAAAACCACAGACCGTTCTGGCACAATTAGCTGGCCCAGCTTAGGAGGAGGCTGCCAGCTAGGATGGAGGTGTTTCATCAGAGCATTTTCTGCTGTCTGACCCTACTGTGTTGGAATCCAGCAATAACTAGCCATCTTTGATTTTTTTTAAAAAAACATTGTTTGAAGTTACTTCATTGCCAAGATTCCTCCACACCCACACCCCTTCTTCTCTGCATCGCCCGCCATATGGGCCCACGAGAGGCAATGCTGCAAGAGCAAGTATTTTCATCTCTGCGTCTCCGTTTTCAGATGCTCAATTTCCTGACTAATTCCTACCCCCTGCCCCCAATATTTGTTCTCACTTTAAAAGCAGGGAGGCGGCAGCCCACAGCTAGGGCAGTCTCTCCCAGACAGGGGATTTTATACTGAGCCATATTCTCTCCTAGCTCTAAGCGCCAGGCTTCTTCATCTGCTACAATTCATACACAAAGACAAATGCATCTCTGTGGACACAGATGCCAGTTTTCAGTTTATCCAATCATGGCCCCACCAATTAGATTTCCTGTAATATGGGAATATTTAGCTTTTTGTATCAGTCAGGCAAACAATAACGTCCATTTTTTCTCCAGGCGGGGAGTTGTACACAACTTGTCTTTTGTGACATGGAAACAGGCACCATCTTCTGCGTTGTGTGTGAAAGTGGAGGAGGATGGAGATAAAAATCTAACCAGCAGGCTGGACACACTTTTCACACTGGAAAGCTCCAGATAGCAAAACCATATCTGGCTGAAGCCCGGTTCTACAGAGTAATTTGCTTAATGGATAATCCAGCCTTGATCTTATCCTGCTTCTATGAATGATAGGAAATATACACTGTGATTACTCCACTGGGTTGAAATAATAATACATGCTCTTTCTGAAGGAAATGTGAAGGCCAAGTTTAAAAACCTTACAAAACAGCTAAACATATCCACTACACATCCTTCTAAAAGGTAAACATTCAGTGTACAATGCTCAAGACTAGGAGTTGCTGTGTAGTCTTGGACTGGCCACTCTTGGGCTAGCCAAACCCCACACTTCCCCCAAGCCCCATCTCTCATCCCTCCCATCCCGTTTCTGATTTACGGTAATTCTAGATTTTTTGGGAAGTTGTTTGTTGTTCAACATTGCCTTATGGAAGGTGAGATAAATACATGTACCTGCTACTTAGACACAAAAAATATTTGATGCTGGTGCCTAGGAATTTGAATTATTTGTGCTGTCTGGATGATTATTAATACTTACTGACAGAACCAACATGTCTACAAATACCAAGGCACACATTTGAGCTAGCTGCAAAAATTAGTTGGGTAAAAGGTCAAAAGCGACAGATGAATGAAACAAGGCAGACACAGTAACACTGGATGGAGTCTCAAGGGAACACACACTGGATCTCTTGTTCAAATTGTGCTAGCTACCCAACTTAGGCTTATTTCTGCATCTTCAATTAACTTCTTCGTCTCTGACTACTATGAAATCATCTACTGTTTAACTTCTTAAGAGGCAGGTACAGGAATTTAAATCTGCCTGGATCTTGCATTTTCTGGCCTGGAAGCCCTTCCCACAAATCCAATAGGTATGAGACCTGATTGTTGTTATCCTGAGGTGAGAGGAAAACATCTTGCATAGGCCTGAATGTTTCCTTGCTGCTACTTCGGACTTCATGATGCAATGAAAACCAGCTCTAAGAGTAAGTCCTGGTTCAAAGTAGACCCCCAAAATGAGTTAGACAGAAGTCAAAGAATATAAAGAAGGGACCCAAACCGGTGTAGAGGAATGGAAAGAACGCAAAAAGTATAAATATGAAAGTAAATTCTTTCTAGACATTACATGTATAGATTACTTAAATAACAGTTTGTGTTCCTGAAATGAAATTATGTATTGTGAATTTGTTGTTGTAGTTTGTTTTTTCTTTTTCCTCTTTCTTTCCTTTTTTGTTTTTTGTAATCTTTTTCTTTTCTTTTTTCTCTTCTTTTTGGGTTTATTATTGATATTTGATTGTATTTTACTGTTAAATTAATAAAGCTTAATTTTTTAAAACAAACAAACAAAAACAAACAAGCAAAGTAGACCCCCAAAACATGCATGCCAATGACAGTTTGTAACTGGGAGTCGTAAGAATGCCTTTGCAATGCAGAACGCTGTGAGAAAATATACAGCAAAAAAATTAAAGAAGATTCAGGCAAAAACTTAACAGAAAAACCAATTATAATGTTAAAATGCAGCATTGAAATCTTGGTGTTTGGGTGCCTCAAGTGCACACTGCTCTGCTTCCTTCATTCTGTCTGTCTGCTATTCCTTTTTTTTAAAAAAAGAAAGAAAACAACAACAGTAATGATCACAGTCTAAAGCAGGGATAGGGAAGCTGTGACCCTCCAGATGTTGTTGGAGTACAATTCCCATTATCCTTGACCACTGGTCATGCTGGCTTGGGGTGATGGGAGTTGGAGTCCAAAAGCCTAAGGAGGGCCACAGGTTCTTCATCCCTGGAAAGCTTGGAACCACAGAGAAGTCACTATTAATTGACACTAGGATGCGAAGCTGTGCATTTAGGAGATGGTGGTGAAGGAACGGGATTCTGGCTTGTTTCCATTCTGGTAGCGCAAGAAAGTGGGAATTTAGGAGTATCTGACTTGCAACCAATTCAGCAAACGAACAGGGAAAAGAAAAGAGCACAGGGAAGGCAAGCAAGTTAAGGAGAGAATAAGAAGTGGCTGCAAAAAGTCAGCAAGCAGCCACAGAAAGCAACTGTATTCCCTTTAGCCAGCAGGTGTTGCTCTGGCAATAGGAAGAGACCAGAGAGCAGCAAAGGCTATAAAGAAACAAATGAGCTGCTTAAAAATAATAAAAATAGGAAAATAACATGTCCAGGCAATACAAGGGCCAAATGAAACCCACAGCCAATGCCTTGGAATTCCTCCCCAACTAGCTCAATGGTCCAGCTGTCAAAGGGAATCACAAGGTCACACGTTCTACACACATCCACGCACGTTCTAGCCTGTTCCCTTCAACTACTTGGAACTGTTATAATAGCCGCTCAATACAAAACTCAACTAAAACATGGCAAGTCATGAAGGCCTCCCCCCATCCCTGGCCTCCATTTCAGTGCTCATTTGCCTATTGCTTGGCACAGCAAACGCTTTTTGTTAGCATGAAGAGGAACAGTAGCAAGGCCTTTATACTCTTGGAATATTGACGGAGATGGAAAAGCCCCAAGACCTTGAAAATAATAAAAGAGAGAATGCATCAATACAGAAAAAGGGCACACAGCAAAACCAAGGAAATTCAAGCACAAGTAACATGCTAATATGCTGGATGAGGCTAGGTAGCCCACTTGAATCTGGTGTGTGAGGGTTGTTGTTTTTTGGGTGGGGGGCATGAATATTCCTCCCAATTCCTTAGGTAATAACAACTTTTCCCAGTTCCTTGTGGAAAAGGCAAGGCAGGGCCTACTGCAAGCGAGGCTTTGTTGGTGGTGCTGCCCCTGGGGCCTGACTGCTGGGTGTTAACCCGTGACAAGGCCTTCTCAGCGGCAGTTCTTCCGTGTTCCTGCATCTGTCTCCCTCATTACTCAGTTTAAGGAGGAACTTAAAAGCATTTCTGTTTTCACCTAGGCAGTTGATGACTGAAAGATACTGTTCCTGGCAACCCTGAAATCAGTAGCTGAGAGAATGTTTTTAACTGTTTTTAGAATCTTTCTACAATGTTTTTATATTGGTGTGTTTGCCATTCTGGGCTCCTTCATGAGGGAGGGCAGGATATAAAATGACTGGCAAATAAATAAATAAATGGAATAAATAAACACTGAGCCACTGACAGTTTTCTATTACCCAAGCCATCTAATACATGATCAAGCACGTCACCTTAATTTCCTGTTAGGGAGGAACAGTTAATGTCTCCCAAATGCTGCAGCACAGTAACTATTGACAGGTACCAGTAGTTAGTTTGGTACGGGGAGACTAGATTGGTAAAAGCAGGGAGTCGATCCCAAAGTAGTAACGCATCCTTATCAGAACATAGGACATGGAACACCCTCCCACCAGATGTCAAAGAGAACAACAACTACCAGGCTTTTAGAAGACATCTGAAGGCAGTCCTGTTTAGGGACGCTTTTAATGTTTGATGTATTTTAATATTCTTTTGGAAGCCGCCCAGAATTTAAAAATAAATTTATTATTATTATTATTATTATTATTATTCCAACTAAAAATTACTCAGGACAGTTTTTGTTGCATAATTACTTTGATTTTTCTGGTGGCTTCAGTCACTGACTACTAGATTAAATTCAGATTTAATCCATACATTCTGACAAGGCTTCAGTCATTTAAGACACCCACCACTCCAAAGTAATGGTTAAATAAATTCCTGAACAGGAGGACTAGCTGAGTTAGCCAACAGAACAATGGGGTGAATCATTATCACCATGGCCTCAGGTTAATGTAGATTCCCACCCACCCCTGTTCTTGTCTTGTCTATGGGTACCAGAGCATGAGAGATGGTGAGTGAACCAGGAGTCAGCATAAATTTCCCTCAGAAATGACAGACAGCAGATAAAGAGAGGAAACAGAGGAAATGGGTTTGTTTTCTGCAGCTGCTTTAACTCAGTGACAAAGTGAGGTATTAAGGGTGATCCTCATTTGCAATCAAACCAAATTGCTTTTTTAAAAAGTCAACAGCAATTGCTAGACATTACTAGGGTGGCGGAGAAGAGAAGATGCAAGAGTGCTTGCTTTTGACAGCAGCTTCACATGCACCATGACAACTACTTCTGGTTGAGGTTTCCATATTACTCACCAATGAGAGAAAAAATCAAGAGCTACAACTATATATGAGAATCCAGGAGCACCTTTTGGCCTAGAGATACCTCCAAGGCATGTAACAAAACATGCCAGTAACAAAAAGTAAATGTCCCATAAGAAGCAATGCTTCCTCCCTCAGAACCTGGAAATGTATAAAATAGAAAAAGGCAACGAGAAGGCAAGATATCTCAATAAAAACTAAATAAACAAACTATGTAGAGGGCACAACCCAAGGAATACACAGTCTGAGCAAGCGTATTCTGATCGCCTCACTCCTGTATGCCAGCCCCTCAGCTCAGATTTCTGTATTGTGAGCATAATATGCCCATCCCTCATGCTTTTGAACAACTGCAGACATGTAACAGACTTGTGTTGAATTCCTTGTCACTATCCTGAGGGGCATGGAAGTACAAAAAGCTAATGAAAGAGCCTGTCACTATGGGTATATATATTTTTTATTTTCAAAACTCCAAAGAGGAAATGGAGAATGTGAAGACACCACTGCCATCCTTTCAGCTTGCTCTGAGAAATAAGATGAGATGATGCTCTTCAATTTTCTTTCAAAAGCAGCTGAGTTCAGTGAACTCTTTTAATGAGGATTAGAGGTGAGGCAGAGAGCAAATGGTCTCCTAGCTGAGGGGAACAAATGCATTCCATTTCCAATATCCCTCCCCAGCCCCCAACACCCTCTGGGCTGGGAGGCTCATGCATATTTGACATGTTTTCCGCTCAGACAGTAATTTCAGGAGCAGCTTATCTCATTCTGGTTTATATGGCTTTAAGAAATACAAATATTCTATGTTCTTTATGGAAAACTCTGATCCTAGTATAACTACAACAAGGTCTCTGAGAATTCTAACACGAATCAGATTCATTTTAAATTCAATAGCATTGTTCACATGGCACCCTGAATATATTATTGGGATACAACGCCCATCATTGCTGACCGCTGGACATATTGTCTGGGGCTGATTGGAGTTGTGATCCATGGTGGCTATTCCTGGCTTACAGTGATGGCGAAAACCATGTGGCAACTGAAAATACATTTAAACTCACTCACATGCATGTCTGAAAATAATCATACAGAATATTTATGCAACAATCCTGTCTAATATACAAGAAAGGGAACTGTGTGTACATTGATTTGTCTCACCTTAAGAACTGATCAAGGTGGGTAACTTCTGGTCTTCCAGTTCTCTTTATCCCTGACTACTGGGCATACTGGTTAGGGGTGATGTGAGTTGCAGACCAATTATAACTGGATGGCAACAAGTCTCCCACCATCCTAAACTACTTCTGTGTGGTTTAAGAACTGCCTGGTTGGATCAGGCTAAGATCCATCTGGGCCACCATTCTGTTTCCAACAGTGGCTAGTCAACTGCTTCCAGGTATATTTACAACCACAGCATGAAGGCAACATCCTTCTCCTATTTGTCCTCTGGCAGCTAGTATTAAGAGCTATATTGCCTCTAAACATGGAGGTTCCATTTAGTTGTGGCCAATAGCCAAATGTTACCATCTGCAAATTTCTGCCGAGTCCTTGCTTTCTATTTGTGGTAGATGGTGCCTAGGATTGTACAGGCTGATCTGTGTGGGATCAGAGGATGAATAGCCCTGCCTGATGGTAGAAAAGTGGATTAAAATGTTCTTAGGCCCCTGAATTCAAATATTACAACACAGTAGAGGGAAACAAGAGGCTTCTGGGACCAGGATCCAGTATTTCATGAGAAGTTTCTTGGTAATGAAGGTATACAAACTACATAGTGCAATTTTATATGTGTCCATTCAGAACAAATCCTATGGGAATTACTGCTAGGTAAGAGTGTAAAGGATTGCAGCCTAACTTATATCTGTGATATGCCAAAGGTTTTTTGCTGCAGGTACAAATTTTCCTTTCAGTTAACTGTCAATAGGCCCAAACAATTAGCTGTGTGGCAACTACTGAAGATCCTGCTGCAATGAAGGCTCCACAGACAACCCCTCTTCATTTCCTCCCTGTGACAAGTTTTATGGCAGGAGACAGTCAAAACTTAAAATGGTACTTCCAGCTTGTCAGAAAACTACAATTACCTGTTTTGTAAAAATATAAAAATCCAGATGCACCTAGAATTGAAACTGTTGACAACACAGCTTTTAATCTGAGTGTTCCACAATACCAGTGGGTATTGAACTTGCTTATTTTAAAGCCATTTTTACCTGATGCAATCTTCAATTATTCCCATATTCAACAAAAAAGCAAATATTAAAGGTGCCCTTGCTTTCCTAAAATAGATAGCTGATCTTGTTTGCCAATATTGTATGATTACTTGTAAGAGAAGCTATGCCCTTCAGGGTCATTTCTTTCTAAAGGAACAGAAATGTTACAGTAAATACAGAAGTTAAAAATTATATCGTTAATTAAGACAGCAACACTTCTTGCTGATATCTGGAAGCAAGCTTCACTGAATACAATTGAATTTACTTCCTAGTGAACTACCATAGAATTGAGCTGTAAAAGAATTACTCCATTATATAGTCATTGTTTTAAATAAGTCTCTACTTAGAACTTTGTAAGAAATATATGAACTTATACCAAAAAAGTTGCATGTTAAGGATGAATGATAATAGAATAACCCCCTAGCAAGGTGATTCTACAGTAGTAAACATGAAATAGTCATAAAAGTGTTTGGATAGCTGTTGCCTATTCCCTGCCTATTACAGTGGGAAGCCAAACTGCTGCAAGCTACTTCAACACACAAAGCTAGAAAGATGGCAGCATGCACTGAATTACAAGTACAGTGGTACCTCAGGTTAAGTACTTAATTTGTCCGTACTTAACCTGAAACTGTTCTTAACCTGAAGCACCACTTTAGCTAATGGGGACTGCTGCTGCTGCGCCGCCGGAGCATGATTTCTGTTCTCATCCTGAAGCAAAGTTCTTAACCTGAAGCACTATTTCTGGGTTAGCAAAGTCTGTAACCTGAAGCGTATGTAACCTGAGGTACCACTGTACAGGAATGTAAACACAGATATGTTCCTTCTCTCAGGCATCTGTCCCACATTACAACTACTACTACTACTACTACTACTACTACTTGTTACTGGTTCATATGGAGTAACTGAGTTAGTTTTTTATTTTAGGACTCATACCCAATCTTCTTCACCAACATCACTGTGCTTTGAAGGCAGAGTTGTTGATAAATCTTTTAGCTATAAACAGAGCTTATACCTGTAATTAAAATGAGCTGATAAAGCAGTCTTGGAGGATAAAGGATGCGTGGTGAATCCTAGTGGAATTTGTTCCACACAGAGATAAGAAAGATAATCAGATAAAGCACTTGAAAGTATTTTCCAGCAATAATCCAGAAGTTCTGAAGTCGTACACCTGTGGTCCTGGCTGAGCCATCAAGTGTTTAAAGTTCTGTAACATAAAAAGAGCATTCTCCCAGCAGGTTGCATTTCATCATTTCTGCAGCAAAAATAATCCCCCCTAGCAATGTCTGACCTAATTACTCACAGGTGAATGTGCAGAAGGTACAAACCACAGGTGCCTTTGTCTCTGGAGGCCTTGCGAACAAAGCATATTCAAATGTCCAGCCACTGAGACATAATGCACCTCAGAATGCACATGGAAAAAACATTTGTTTGAAAGCTTGTCCTTGGTGTGTAGGTTTTCTATACGGAGCAAGATTCTGATATAGGAATGCTTTCAAACAAATAGTATTCTACAGAAGTTTTGAGGTGGATTAATTGTGCAGTAAGACTACGGCACTTGAATGTTTGAATGGGCTCTTAGTGGGCTTCTGTAAATTTCAGTTTAATTTACAAATGGGCTTCTATAAATTTCAGCTTAAGAGAAGACATCTTATCCAGAATGAATGACAGCCTTTTACAAACAAAATAAGCATTTCACTATACATGTACTATGAGGATGAAAGTCAAACCTCACTTTAACTCCAGCTTCCAATTCCTAAAATAATACAAAGAATGTAGGAAGCTATCTTATAGAGTCAAACCACCAGTCCATCCACTCCAATAGTCTATAGAGCCTGGCAGCACCCGTTCAGGCTCTTAAACAGGGTCTCCCCACTCCAGTACAATCTAGAGGCGTCAGGGATTGAACCTGGGTCATTGTGAATCCAAAGCATATGCTCTGTCACTGAGCTATGACCCTTTCCGATCATAGACATAGACCCCTTCAATGAAAACAGGGGAGGGGGTGGGAATAATATGCAAACTCGTCACCCGTAAGTTATTGGCCACTCATGACAGGCAACAACTC